CGGCTTTTTTCTTTTTGCTTATGTGGTGCTGGGGAATGGAACCCAGGGCCTCAGGCATGCAAGGCAAGCGTTCTACCACAGAGCCACCTTCCCAGCCCCTAATGCATATAACTTGAAAGCTAACAATATTTTCTTCCTTCCTTTCTACTGTAACATATAAATACCACAATTATAACACCACAGACTACATATTCTCTCATTAATCTTCTATAAATTATTGACTAGTCCCTCTTTCTTCCAGCAGACTGCAAACTGTTCAGAATCTCTTCCAGAAACAGCTACAAAGCTCTTGTTTCGAATTGTTAATATATTCAAAGCAGTTACAAAGTTTTAAATTGCAATGTAATTTAGATAGATAAAACACATTCCTAAACTACTCAAAAGAGAACAAAATCAATAACTAAGTGTATACAGAGAGCCTGATGATTAAATTATCTGGACACAAACTAGAAATGCCTATGAACACTAGGACCCACCTTAGACCTACTGAACCAGAATCTCTGTTAGGTAGGTGGGGCATGGGGATGGTTTACACTTGGGAGTTCCAGTAATTCCAGTTAAGCACTATAAATACCTTTAATAAACAAGATAGGGGCTGAGAAGGTGGCTCAGTGGTAGAGTGCTTGCCTTGCATGCATGAGGCCCTGGGTTCGATTCCTCAGCACCACATAAAAAGACAAACCTGGAAGTGGTGGTGTGGCTCAAGTGGTAGAGCACTAGCCTTGAGCTGAAGAGCTGAGGACAGTGCCCAGGCCCAGAGTTCAGGCCCCATGACTTACAAACAAAATAAAACAAACCAAAACCAAAACAAAAACAAAATGACTAGTAGTTTGCATGTGAAAATTATAGTCAGCAAATTACAGAAATCAACACTAGGCTAAAGAAAATAGTTAGAAAACTATTAGAAAGTTCCAGGTAAGAGATAATATACACTCATGCTGGGAAAAGCAGCAGGAATGGAAACTATGAGACATAATGAGCATGTATAAAATACAAACTTTGTCAGTTGAGGAAGTGGAAGGGGCAATAACTGCTTAGCAGAGACTAGGCATAGACAGTAGCACCATTTATAAACAAGGCATCCCACCCCCCAGAACCCGCACATGCTCCATAGGCACTCTACCCGAGCTGTACCCCAGTGCCAAAGGGTATTGTCTAAATAAACTGTTGGAAACGATAAACTGAAGCCTACTTAGGGGAGATATAAACATTTCAGGGTTAAGAACAAACAAATGAACAGCAGTGGAGTGTTTAAGAAGTCACAGAGATAATAGAAGGGGTAATACATAGAAGGGCCATTATCATGAAAGAATTAACTCTATTTGGCAAGTGGATCGAAAGGATAAGATGATTAAATGACTCCATGGCCCTGTAGCTGCATATCTAGGATGATGAGGTAATATTCAGTGGAAAGGAGAGGGGAGGATGACAGGGAAAATAAAAGATAATCACAGGGGAGATAATCACAGGTCAAAACTGTAATTGGAAAGATTCTGCTTTAGAGAGGAGGGACTATATCAGTGCGTTCCAAGCTAACTGTGAAAGAACATAGTAGATGCAGCTTATAAAAGTTTCTGAAGTTTATTCATAATTCAAATGCTGTCAGACTGACACCAAAATGAATGCATGCTGGCCTGGACCACAGACATTACTGACATGAACCTAATATAGAAAATCTGCAAACTTCTTCCCACTTTTTTCCCAGTCATGGGGCTTGAACTCAGAGCCTGGGTGCTGTCCCTGAACTTTTTCACTCAAGACTAGTGCTCTACCACTTTGAGTCACAGTGCCACTTCCGGTTTTCTGGTAGTTAATTAAAGATAAGAATCTCAAGGACTTTCCTGCCTGGGCTGGCTTTGAACTTTGATCCTAAGATCTCAGCCTCTTGAGTAGTTAGGATTACAGGCATGAACCACCAGTATGACTTAATGCTTCTTACTTCTAACTACAACCTGTGACATTATATTTTCAGACTTGGTTGCTAAGGAAGAGCAGTGACCTGGAACAGAAAGGCTAGTTTTGGCTCATTTCCTCTCGGAAACAGTGGTCATGACCCTTAGTGCATCTCAGTATGTACTAATTTTCTTCTTTAACTTTCCTCATCTGTGACATGAGAAACAAAGCTGACTCTCTTCCTAGATTCTAAAGAAAGAGAATGAAATGATGTGTAGGTGTTATCAGCAGTAAAAATCATTGATAATTCCAAATACAGTGCAGCACATCCTAAACTTGTTATCTAAGACCCCAGGTTTGTCTATATTTCAAGGCATGGCATGAAATTCTCCAAATAAAACTCATTTTCAATTTACTTTAATAAGACAACAAAACAGCAACACTTTTCATAAAATAGGGGAATCAGAAAGATTAACTACATGTTAAATAGTTTAATTCTAGAATTCAAGGGATATAGACAATATTTGGTGAGAAATGGTCGATAGGCAGATCAAACCTGGAATCATGGTCTGAAGTCACATATTATGTGTACAACTGTAATCATAACACTTGGGAAGCAGCCTGAGCTACAAAACTAGAACTTAGGAAGGAAGGAAGGAAGGAAGGAAGGAAGGAAGGAAGGAAGGAAGGAAGGAAAGGAAGGAGGGAGGGAGGGAGGGAGGGAGAGAAGGAGGGAGTTCTTAGAAGGAGGGAAAAAAAATGAACGATCAGCTGAGCAGTGGTGTCTCTTTTACTTGTAATCCCAGCTACTAAGGAGGCTGAGGGCCAGCTAAGACAGGAAAATCCATAAGACTCTAATTTCCAATTAACCACCAAAAAAGCTGGAAATGGATTGTGGCTCAAGGGATTCAGCCTTGAGCAAAAATAGCTGAGGGACAACACCCAGGCACAAAAACAAATAATTTTTTACCTTCAAACACACACACACACACACACACACACACACACACACAGAGGCAAGAAAGTAGTCGAGACTCTTAACTCCAATTAACCACCAAAAAAAAAAAAAAAAAAGCCAGAAGTAGCTGTGGCTCAAGGGGTAGAGTTCTAGCTCTGCCTGGGTCTGCATTTCCCTCTTATAAGATAAGGAAATGGCATCAGCTTATCTTTAAGGTCCTTTAAACTCTCAGTTGTTACAATTGGGTTCTTCAATGATGAATGGAAAAGGTATACAAAAAATGGACCAAGAAAACTTAAGAATATTTCTGCTTTGTTCAAACAACATGGTCCATATATTCACAAATAGAACCTACTTCACTTTCCTTACAAAAAAAATTGAACTACAAAAATAAAAACATAACACCAATAGGGAAAAAGGTGATCTACTACAGATTTAAAGATAAAAGCAAAAAAGGCTTACATGTGTCTTTCGTATCTCAGGGTTTCTCTGATGGACCATGCAACCTGGTATGGTGAGGCCTGCTCTGAGTCCTCCTGCTCCTCTCCGCTTTCTTCAGACCAGTCCAACCCTGCAGCACACAAGGGATATTGCAAGTTAGGAAAAATTTACCTTGAAAAGCTATTCAAGATACCTGATCCACCACTCAAGCAAGTACTATCATAGCCTGTGAGGAAATGCCTCCCAAGGAGTCTCTTTTCAACTCTCGCAAAGGTAATGTATACCATACACTCAGATTTAAAACAGACTACATTGTACAATAAGACTATGCTACATTCTAAGGATGAACTTTTGTCAGACTCTTTACTAACAGAATGCAAACAACACAAGCAAAGAGTGCAGGACAAATAAAGGAATGTTCAGACTGGAGGTGTAGGTAAGTGGTAGAGTACTTTGGGAAGGGGAAGTGGGACAGGATAGCAATTTCAATTGCTAATGAGGTTTGAGATCAATGTTAATTCTTTTTTGGGGGGCTGGTCCTGGGGCTTGAACTCAGGGTCTAGGCGCTGTCCTTGGGCCTCTTTGTGCTCAAGGCTAGCATTCTACTACTTGAGCCACAGAGACAATTTAGGCTTTTCTGAGAAGTTTATTGGAGATTGGAGTCCCTCATGGGGACTTTTCTGCCCAGGCTGGCTTCGAGCCTCAATCCTCAGATCTCAGCCTCCTGAGTAGTTAATATTTCAGGGGTGAGCCACTGGCACCCAGCTAGCATAATGTTAATTCTCTTTTTTGTTTTTTTGGGGTCCGGTCGTGGGGCCTGAACTCTGGGCCTGGGCGCTGTCCCTCAGCTCTTCAGCTCAAGGCTAGCGCTCTACCACTTGAGCCACAGTGCCACTTCCGGTTTTTTTTTTTTTGCTTACGTGGTACTGAGGAATCGAACCCAGAGCCTCAGGCATGCAAGGCAAGTGCTCTACCACTGAGCCACCTTCCCAGCCCCTCTTTCTCACAGACTTTCCTGCCCAGGCTGGCTTTGAACTGTGATCCTCAGATCTCAGCCTCCTGAATAACTAGGATTACAGGCATGAGCCACCGGCGCCCAGCGCATAATTGTAATTGTTTTAAGGAAAACCTACAATATTTTGTACTCCATTTTCCAAAAACAAAATTAGAGGGGAAAGTGTAGAAATATAATATAAACACTAATTAGTTCATTAAACGTTTTCTTTGTGTGTGGGGGGAGGGGGGGACGGGCTCAGTTGTGGGGCCTAGGCACTGTCCCTGAGCTCTTTTGCTCAAGGCTTGTGCTCTATGCAGGAAAATCTGTATACTTTTATCTCCAATTAATCACCAAAAAGTTGAAAGTGGAGCTGTGACTTAAATGGTAGAACACTGGCCTTGAGCAAAAAGGCTCAGGGTCAGTGCCCAGGCTATAGTTAAAGCTCTAGAACTGGCACGCACACGCGCGTACACACACACACACACACACACACACACGCACACACGCACACACACACAAAACACCAAGAGGCATGGGTCAAATGGTAGAAGGTCATCCTAGCAAACAAACAAAGCAAGCACAAGGGAAAAAAAAGTTTATGTCCCAAAAAGATGATCATAAGCAGATGTGACACAGAATCTTGAATAGAAAGTATAACAGCATGTGAGACCACATAAATTTAGCATAAGCTTTAATATCACATAAAACTTGATAGACTCTTTGATAATACCATTTTATTTATATCTTCCCATCCTGAAAGCCTCAAAAACCTAAAGACCATCTTCATTAGACAGAATTATATTTAAATGAAACACATAGATTTCTTCCAAGATTTAAATGAGTTTACATGTGCCAAATGATGAAATTAAGAAAGGTTAATTGAAATGTAAATTGTAAATGCATAAATTACATATTACCATTGGCATAAAAAAACTTCAAATAGTGTCAGGTCACCTTAAAAAGTGAATACCTTTTCTCAAAGTAAAAATTTATATAGAGAGGAAAAAAAGCAAGAAACAACCTGGTCGGTCACAAGAACAATATGTTGAAGGTGAGGTACTTCAAAATGATACTTAGGTTACCTTTAAAATGACATAAATTACTTAATTATTTTGTAGAAATAATTTCTATTAAGACACTTGTATTTCCTCTGAACATGTCAAGCTGTAAGTTAGAAGAACTAAGATGGAAACATTTCTCATACTATGAAATTAATTGCCCAAGCCGGGCACCGGTGGCTCACGCCTGTAATCCTAGCTACTCAGGAGGCTGAGATCTGAGGATCACGGTTCAAAGCCAGCCCGGGCAGGAGAGACCATGAGACTCCTATCTCCAATAAACCACCAGAAAACCGGAAGTGGCGCTGTAGCTCAAGCAGTAGAGTGCTCGCCTTGAGCTGAAGAGCTGAGGGACAGCGCCCAAGCCCAGAGTTCAAGCCTCACGACCGACAAAAAAAAAAAAAAAAAAAAGAAATTAATTGCCCAACCACACAAACCTCTGATCTCAACTTCATTATCACCAATTCTAATGTAAGTAACTGAGATGACCAGCTTAGATAGGACTCCCACAAATAATTGCTAGACTGAATGTTTCTTTTAAATAATCTTTGTGTGAATATGCTTAGTCCCAAGAGTGCATTTCAATTCCTGAGTTCTCAAAAATAACCTTGGTAGCTAATACATTTTGATTAAAAAAATAAAATAACAAGGTGTGGTAACTGACGTTGAAGAATTGAGAGTTCAAGATCAAAGGCTGGGGTCAGGGCTGGAATTCAGTTAGCAGAGGGCTTGCTGTTATAACAAGCAGGCTGGAGGTGTGGGTTCCAAACCTTAGACACCCCAAAGAAAAAAAGAAAGAAAAGAAAGAACATGTAAGGATAGCCTTGGCTTCAGAAGAAAATCCTGACTCAAACAAAAACTGAATGGGTTTTCTCCCAAGTTTTTCATTTGTTGGGAAAATGGTTTAAAAAAAAAAAAAATCAGGGCCGGGAATGTGACTCAGTGGTAGAGTGCTTGCTTCGCATGCATGAGGCCCTGGGTTTGATTCCTCAGCACCACACAAACAGAAAAATCGGGAAGTGGCACTGTAGCTCAAATGGTAGACCGCTAGCCTTAAGCTGAAGTGAGGGACAGCGCTCAGGCCCTAAGTTCAAGCCCTACAACTGAACAAAAAAATAAAAAATAAAAAAATCAGCCAGGCACCAGTGCTCATAGCTGGGGCCTGAACTCTGGGCCTGGGCCCCGTCCCTCAGCTCTTCAGCTTAAGGCTAGCACTCTACCACACAGTGCCACTTTTGGCCTTTTCTGCTTATGTGGTGCTGAGGAATCGAACCCAGGGCCTCATGCATGCAAGGCAAGCGCTCTACCACTGAGCCACCTTCCCAACCCCATCAATCACTTTTTTTTTCCTGCTGATCCCAGGGCTTAAACTTAAGATTTGGGCTCTGTCGTTGAGCCTCTCTGTGCTCAAGGCTAGTGCTCTACTACTTGAGCCACAGTGCCACTTCCATTTTTTTGGTTAACTGGAAATAAGAATCTCACAGTCAGCCCAAGCTGGCTTCAAACTGAGCAAAAAGAAAAAAAGGAAAGTCCCTGTGAGACACCTACCTCCAATTAACCACTTAAAAAACCAGAAGTGACGCTGTGGCTCAAAGTGAACAGCACATAGGCCCTGAGTTCAAGCCTCACAACTGACAAAAAACAAACAAAAAAGTTCAAGACCACTGTGGGCTATAAAACTGCCTCCAAAAAAAAAAAAGCCAAGGGTGCTGGGATCTGTAGCTCAATGGTAGAAAACTTACATATCACAGGCAAGGCCTGATTTTCCCAGCACTACAAAAAATAATCAATTAAAAAAAGCAAAGGCTTGAAATTGGCAATTCCACTTCTAATTATCTACTTGAAGAAAAACAATTAAAGATGAGACAGTAAGTTACTTTGCTGCAAGGCTATGTATCTGCAACAATTTATAATGATAGAAATAAAAAATGACAAATTAGAGGCTGAATTCAGCCATGAAAAAATAAGCTGCATATGAAACTAATTATTACCTTGAAAATACATCACTATAAAAATTTCGAACAGGTAACAAATCAGCATGTATAATTGGAAGTCAATTTTATGTCTTTGAAAAGAAGTACACCAAGGTATGAATAAATTAGTACATACTATGGTTAAGAATCTTATAGTTACTTATAGTTTTAAAATTATTTTATTAAATTTTAAAAATTGTCAAAAGAAGCCAGGCACTGGTGGCTCACACCTATAATCCTAGCTACTCAGGTGGCTGAGAGCTAAGGATTGCGGTTCAAAGGCAGCCAGCCGAAGGGAGCCTGGGCAGGAAAAGTCCATGAGACTCTTATCTTCAGTTAACCACCAGAAAACCAGAAGTGGCACTGTGGCTCAAGTGGTAGAGCGCTCACCTTGAGCTGAAGAGCTCAGGACAGCACTCAGGCCCAGAGTTCAAGCCCCACAACTGACAAAAAAAGAAAAAATAAATTGTCAAAAGTCAAACAGCTTCACAGTAGGTGAAAAAAATATAAAACACATCCTCTGTCTTTAATTCCATTCTCACTGATAGTTATATCCCTTATGTCTACTCTGATACTCAGTTACCAAACAAGCAAAGTTCACCCACATAAGTAATCAATTATGCAGAGGTTCTGATCATTTAAAATTTACAATACAACAGGGCGACGGCAGCTTATACTGTAATCCTAGCTACTTAGAAAGCTGAGCTCTAAGGATCACAGTTCGAAGAGAGCCTAGGCCATAAAGTCCGTTAGACTCTTTTTTTTTAAATTATTATTATCTTAATTAATAAGCTTTTTATTGTGAAAATACTGTACAGAGGGGTTACAATTACATGAGCGAGGTAATGAGTACATTTCTTATCAACCATTGTTGCCTCCTCCTTTGTTTCTCCCCTTATCATCCCTGCCCTCCTATCTCCCCCCTACCCCCACCTGAGAATTATTTTTGAGTTATTCTAATAGATTGTGACCAATGTGACCATGTGTTATGTTAGGTCTACATGTTAGACTCTTATCTCTAATAAAGTAAATAGAAAAAGCCAGAAGTGGCCCATGTGGTACATTGCTAGCCTTGAGAAAAAGAATTTCAGGAAGTGCCCAGGACCAGAAAAAAAAAAAGAAAAAATTGATAATACCTTTTGATTTTCCTACCTGTTAAATCATGAGCACATTTAAGCCAAAAGATTTCTTTCTTTTTTTGTTGGTCATGGGCTTGAACTCTAAATCTGGGCGCTGATCCTCAGCTCAAGGTAAGTGCTCTACCACTTGAGCCACAGCACCACTTCTGGTTTTCTGGTGGCTAATTGGAGATAAGAGTCTCATGGACTTTCCCGCCCAGGCTGGCTTTGAACTGTGATCCTCAGATCTCAGCCTCCTATGTGGCTAGGATTACAGGTGTGAGCCAGCGCCTGGCTTTCATTCATTCTTCCTAATAGCTATATACTACTATATAAAACATGTAAAAGAAAAATAAAGTTTGTTGCAGGCTGTGTGTGTGTGTGAGTGTGAAAGAGACTGCTACCTACTAAACAGCATTGTATGAAATATAACTTCTCTCCCTGATAAGTGGATGATAAATCCAAAATGTTAGGTGATACGACAAAACTAACAGGACTTAAGAAACAAAGAACTCCTGCTCATCTGGTTGAACCACTACTAAATATCCCCACGCTGCTGATCACATGTATGGTGTATAACATGTGAACACTGTTATATATTACAGACTGTGATAGACAATTTGTTCCAGGAAAGTTAGAATGAACTTGTGACTTAGAAACTATGTAATCACTTAATCACAATCAAAAAAAAAAAAAAAAAAAAGCCAAAAAAAAAAAAAAAAGAAATATAACTTCTCCAATAGTGCATATAATTTTAACCACTCTAGCAACTTACTGTTGTTTTCATTGCTATTTCCTGTTGTCTATACTGAGATTTGCATTGTTATTGCCCAGTTACTACTGTTGATATGCTTTGCTTGTATTATCATGCATGTAAGTATATGCATCTTGCATGTAAATAATTGTTTCTAAGTCCAACACTGGTGGCTCACTCCTATAATCCTCAAGGTCTGAAGCAAAAAGTTCAATGAAAAAAGTTCAATGAAAGCAAAAAGCAGTGGTAGAAAAACAAAAGGCAAAAAGCAGTGGCTTCAGTGGTAGAATGCCAGCTTTAGTAAAAAAATCCAAGTTAGAGGCCTTGAAAGCTTGAGACTCTGAGTTCAAGCTTAGTACTGGTGAGCATGCACATGTGTGCACATGCACACACACATATACACACACCTCCCTGAGAGAAGAAACATAGCTAATATCAAATCACATCACAAATAACCTTTAAATGAATTAACAATTTAAGTGATCAAAACCAGAACAAGCTGGGCATAGTTGTAATGCCTATAATCAAGCACTCAAAGGCGATGCCAGCCTGGGCTACATAACAAGATCCTAGGCACATGCCCCCCCCACCCCCAAAGATTAATAGCAAATATAGAAACTCAAGAGGATAAATTTGGGATTCAGAAGCAACATAAGAAAGAAAGATGTATGATTACATTGAAACATTTATCTGTATTTTTTTCTTGGTCTTCAATCATGAACAGAAGTTGCCTTGAGAAATTGTTATTTATTTATTTATTTACTTTTTTTTGGTAGGAATCCTGGGTCTTTAACTCAGTCCTGGGCATTGTCTCTGAGCTTTTGTGCTCAAACCAAGTGTTCTACCACTTGAGCCACAGCGGCACTTATGGCTCTATGGTGATTAATTATGGAGATAAGAGCCTCACAGACTTTCCTGCTGGGTTTGAACTTTGATCCTCAGAACTTGGCCTTCTGAATAGCTAGGATTACAGGTGCTTGACTTGAGATTTTTTTTTTTTGGTCAGTCGTGGGGATTGAACTCTGGGCTTGGGCGCTGTCCCTCAGCTCTTCAGCTCAAGGTGAGTGCTCTACCGCTTGAGCCACAACACAACCTATTACTACTAACAAAAGCTAACAGTGGGGGCTGGGATGGTGGCTCAGTGGTAGAGCGCTTGCCTTGCATGCATGAGGCCCTGGGTTCAAGTCCTCAGCACCACATAAGCAGGGGAAAAAAGCCGGAAGTGATGCTGTGGTCAAGTGGTAGAACGCTAGCCTTGAGCTGACGAGCTGAGGGATAGTGCCCAGGCCCAGAGTTCAGGCCCCACGACCAAAAAAAAACACACATAAATACTCTTGCTCCGTACTTTTTATAGACATCCTACCATAGCAGGTAGGTAGATGGTAGTTGTGAGAGTAAAATGTCACGTGACAGAACACATTCCACATTGTACCATGTAGAGTGAACAAATGATAACTCACCTAAATGGGGAAACAGATCAGTGTCCAACTGATGTTTCTGAGTGCACAGTTTCACCAACCTCTGCAGCTGACTTATACAGGAGAAGTGTGGAGAGAAGGTGGTGGCTTTCATGAGGACCCGGTCAGTCCTGGGTGGATCAGTGCCAGGAGCCCTACTGGATGGCAGGAGGGGCAGAGGCCTCTTGTGAGTCAACTGCCTTGCTTGTGCTATAGTGTGTGTGGTGGGGGCCACTCCCTGCAGTGGTAGGCTGGTGTTCTGAGGTTGAGGTGACTTGCAGACTGAACCCTGCAGTGGCGCTGGAGGTTTTAAAGAAGTCGAGGAAGGTGACGGGCGGGAGTGCTGGAGAGGCTGCCGGGAAGGTGCAGGAGGGGGACTAAAGTGCTCTTGCCGAACTTTCAAAATCTCGGTCTCTCTCTGGCGCTGCCGGTTCTGGGCCAGCTTGCTCTGCAACTTCTTTCTGACAGTTGCCCCTTTCTTTAGGTCGTCATCTTCCTCGTTGAAAGCAAATGGGTCTTCCAGCTCTGTTTCCAGGTAGTGGAGAGGAACCCTTGCCCCAGGTGGAGAGAGGGACATGCCATCCAGTCCATTGGGCATCTTCAAGGCCAATGTGGGCACTGTCAGGCTAAAGGCCATGGTGTCCACCGGGTGCCTGACCTTCACCTCATCTATAGGGTCACTCTTTTTCTTCCTCTCTTTTTTCGGGATAAAGCCAAGTACCTGCAGATGGCTGTTGCAGTACCTGTAAAAGTAAACACATACATGAACAGTCAGGACAAATTATAAAACACAAATCCTAATACACTAAAAATTGACCTGTATACAGCACTTATCTACCAAGTACTCAGAACCTTAAGGTTCAATATTCAGTAGTGTCTTAGTAATTCTTGGCATTGGTTAATTCTGCATGCAACTTCCATGCTGGGCATGGTGGTACACACTCAGGAAACTTTCATTACTCTGAAGTACTCCCAAGTCTGTGTAATTTTGCGGAGGCAAATGTAGGACCTGTAGGACCTGAGAAGCCAGTCAGGGCCAGAGGTCCTAGACAATGCTTTCACTGTTGTTTTCCATCACGTGACTATCCTCCATTCACACATAGCACACAAAGTTAGCTCATCAAGGGTCTGAAGCATCACTTAAAATTCCTATCGGTGCCAGGTGCTGGTGGCTCATACCTGTAATCCTAGCTACTCAGGGGGCTGAGATCTAAAGATCCTAGTTTAAAGCCAGTTCAGGCAGGAAAGTCAGTCAATTTAAACATCCCTCAAATGCCAGAAGTGGACCTGCAGCTCAAGTGGCAGAGTGCTAGCCCTGAGAAAAAAAAGCTCCAGGGCAGCATCCAAGTCCTACCACCACAAAACAAAAAAACAAAAACAAAACAAACAACAAAAAAAAATGAGTAGCTTCCCCTAGTTTGGATTCCATACTTTTTTTTTCTTTTTTGTTGGGCATGGGGTTTGAACCTCTGGACCTGAGCACTATCCATCAGCTCTTCAGCTCAAGGCTAGCGTTGTACCACTTGAGCTACTTCTGGTTTTCCAGTGGTTTGTTGGAGATAAAGAATTTCACGGAGCTGGGCACCGGTGGCTCACACCAGTAATCCTAGCTACTCAGGCGGCTGAGATCTGAGGATCACAGTTCAAAGCCAGCCCGGGCAAGGAAAGTCCGTGAGACTCTTATCTCCAATAAACTACTAGGAAACCAGCACTATGGCTCAAGAAGTAGAGCGCTCGCCTTGAGCTGAAGAGCTGAGGGATAGCGCCCAAGCCCAGAGTTCAAGCCCCATGACCAACCCAAAAAAAAAAAAAAAGAGTTTTACAGACTTTCCTATCCTGGCTGGCTTTGAACCGTGATCCTCAGATCTCAGCCTCCTGAGTAGCTAGGATTACAGGCGTGAGCCACTGGCTCCCGGCTTCCACACTTGTTAAATAACCTCATGCAACCTGGTTCTCCATGTAACTGCCTTAAGGAAGAAAATGTGCTCTTCATGCTGAGCTGACATAGATGCTTCAGTCTGCATGGTAAAAGTTTTCTTTTCTTTCTTTTTTTTTTTTGGGGGGGGGGTCCGGCCTGAACTCTGGGCCTGG